CGACCTCCCGCACAACAGTCCAGCGCTCTATCCATTGAGCTAACCGGGAGGCTGTTAGCTCAATACCCCAAACCCAGTTCTAACACTCAGCAAACTCTGTTTGAATCCCAATTGAGACTGGCTTTCAGTTGATCATGCTAGCACGTAGTTGCATGCAATCAAAATAAGTTGAATATTTGAAGTTCAAAGGGTTGAGTATCTCTCATGCTTGGAAAGTGATTAATGGCACAATCAGTGACAAACGTTTTGAGACATTTCATTTTCTTCCCAACCTGGTTGTCTTGTTGCTCAGCTACCCCCGACCTAAACTTCAACACAATACTGAGTTTGCCAATTCCACCTTGTTGTAGCCTGCATTGCAGCCGGATGTGTCACACAATCCCCAGTATAGTCGGTCTATACTGGAGGTTTAAACTGTCTGCGACGCAGGCTACCTTGTGGCTGGAGTTCAATGATGTTTGAATGCTTGTGGGGGAGTGGGGGCAGAAATGATGGAGGTGGTTCTTGGTGAAATGAAAACTTCTGATCATCTGGTCTGATCGCCCTTGTGAGAGTCATCTTTAAAGTGCACTATTGTCTGTAGTAGTCAATGGTCTTTAAAAAACCTTAGCAAGTCAACCTCAATTTTTATTACGACTTCCACAAAGGTTGTTGAAACATCAGTCACTACTACTGACAACAATCCTTCCCAGGACCTCTCTCACCTGGGTGATAACACCACACAAAGAAATGTTTCTCCCAGGTTAAAATGTATGACTCAGAACTTCTAAAACTTTAAGACTTCTATGCATCTGAGGTACTTTCGTCACAAATTCTAGTTTCCAGTCAAAGTTAATTGTTCCTGCCACCCATTATAAGAAGGTTGCAGCCCTAAAGATAGCCTACATGAGCTAGTTGTTGGTGTGTTGCCAAGATATCAAACTTGAAGATACCAAAAGTCAGCTATGATCTGATGAAGTTAATAATAGTGGGCAGAATTTCCCACCTCAGCATCTTACTTGAATTAATTTGAATATCAAAGGAGAGGGGGATGGCTTGCATGTGACCTTGCCAACCAACTCCTCCTTCTTACATCTGTAGTTATATAGATAGTGTCTTGTTTAGACTCTTTTAACACATGTAAATGCACATTGTTTGGCGGATCTCCTTCTGAGCAAACGTGCACGTCCTTTACGCCAGTGTGGTTATGATTATTTATTACATTCAAAAACCCAAAATAGAGCAAGGCTATGCCCAGCTAACTTAGATTGTAGAGACAGCCTGTCTAATGCTATCTGCCCATTAAAGAACCATTAAATTTATGGAGTCAGTGCAGACTCTCAAGAGAATTTAATTCGCATTTCTTTAAATCTTCTATCCATGGAAATAAAACAATAAGACATTATTATGACACCAACTTACTTGCAAAAGCTACTTTGTTCACACTTTTTGAAGTTTCCCTTATCCACTGCATTGATTTCTGGAATTATCCACACCAGAAGGAGTGAAACAATCCTTAAAATCAAGAAAAGAGGTACCAAAATTCACTTGGAAGCTTTTTTAAATCAGGTGACAATTCAAAGGCAGCATCTGCAAGTCCAAGGTTCTGTTGCACTTCAGTCAGTATAATTTACCGAAACTTGAGATAAGGGCTGAAAATTGCTTACATTTAAAATTCAGATCTACAGAAATACCATTAAGCTATGCAAAAACCCGGTTATGTCAAAAAATATGAAAAATCAAACAGCGGAGTTTACACGTGTCGAGTAAATGGACGATCTTTCATTCGATCGGATATGTTATCACGCATTTAAAAAAAATCATTAGGAGGACTAAGACAAGGAAGATCTGAGTAAATTTTAGGTAAAGAGGTGGATATATTCAAAGAAAACAAAGCGATTACTTTACCTCGATAGGCAAAACGTAGCCATTGAAGTCCACGAAATTCTCACCTCAGCTCTTCTCGAACTCAAGATTAAATCTCGGTGAGTAAACTGGGAAGGAGTATTGCTGCTTCAAACTCCCGGATGCAATTGAAAGAAATTTTGGTGGACTGGGTACTACCCATTCAGTAAAGTTCCCTCTTCGAAGTAACCAACTACTCTTCAAAGTTTGATCGCCGCAGTTTAAAACTTTAAAGCTACTTAGGAGGGTCTGAAAACGCACTGAAAATGGTATGTTATATTTCTTTAGTGCCTCAAAACTGTCCTTGATAGACTGTTAAGCTTATAGATGCGATATGGTTTCTAGATTTCATCACATTTGCTTATCGACGAAAGCATCCTCAAAGCTGTTGCTTGTTGCTGTGGAAAGGCAGATAAATGTACTTGTAGTTTTCATCTTGCTAGAGTTGCGTTGACATCTAAATCGGTGTTGTTTCGTTTTCGATTATGCTTGCTTTCTTAATGCTAGAGCAAATGTAAGGCTGCAAAGCCCGCTTTTTTTAGGACGAATTTGCCCTATTTTACAGTAAACTTGGTCTCGTATGTTTAACATGTTGAGTGTTTATAGTTGTTGCAATTATTATAGGAGGTGGACGCGTCTAATACTTATTTAGACACATCGTTTTCCACGGTGAACTTCATCTCAGTGTTATCATATCTATTTAGGACTAAATCAACGTGCGGACATGTTGAAAATTTATCTCTGAACTTTCTTCCGTTCTTAGGGAAACGAAGCTTCTTTACCAGGTGATATGGTGACACATTGTAAGTATAGTGGTAACGCTCTCGCCCGGCGTCTGTTGTATTTATGTCCAGTAGAACTTACAATTTCTCACTTTTTATTCGCGGCCTATTTTCTCGATACCTGTGGTAATGATGTTCGTTTGAAACTTCAGTTGATGCAGACGAAATAAGACGCCTCGGCAAGAGATTTCGGAAGCTCGATTTGGACAAATCTGGTGCCCTTTCTGTTGACGAGTTTATGTCACTACCTGAATTACAGCAGAATCCTCTAGTCCAAAGAGTAATCGATATCTTCGATACAGATGGGAACGGCGAAGTGGATTTTAAAGGTTAGAAATAAATATAGCTTTTTGACTGTTGTATTATTTAATACATCGCTTGATCGATATCGTGAAAACATACGGGATTCATACGCATTTTTGCATCTCGGGCGATAATTTCGTTGGTAACTTTTTGTTTGCGTGTGATGCACGTAGAAAATCAGCAAGTTGCTGGGCAAAGAAATTAAATCCTAAATTCTGCTCTCTCTCTCTCTCCATGAAAATAGTCTCAGATTATTCACATCGTGTGCTTAAATCGCTAATTGAAAATATGTCACGTTATCTGCAATCAAATTCAGCAACTCCCAAAGTTGAAGCCTTTTTGAAAATTTGTAAGCTTTGCATCCGGTGTTTTTTCACTTTCTGTCGAATTTTTGGAAACAGATTACAACGATTACCGATATTTTCACTTCTCATGCACCGAGAAGTATTCAGGGTTTTTGTCTTCCGCGAGCTTTATTGCGAAAACAATTTGAAAGAAGCCTTGATCAGGCACCTGCCTCCCAACGGTTTTTAAGAATTTCGCCGAGGGACGGATATAATTGTAGTGAAATTGGTATCCAATTAAAATGGTTTAAACTGGGTTTACGATTGATCTGACTTGCATTTGAGCCGTCCTTTTTTATTAAGTGTGAATGGAGTACTTTTTAGGGGCAGCAGCTGTATTTTCTGTTATCCGTTGAACGCTAAAAGTCAGTCAAACTAACTTGGAGCGCGGCCGATCGAGGAGGGCACACTATATTGCGATCAATATCGTCCGTGGGTTCTGACAATTTCCCGTTCTGTGCTCACAGAGTATCTCGGAACCATTTAACCATTTAATTTTCAATGCAAACAGGTCTGGAGTGACTCCATTTGTAAATTTATTGTCAGCGTCGTGGATGTGCTAGGTAGCGCAGTATTATTCAAATAAACAAAAATAACTTAAATGTAGTCCCAAGATTTTTCTTTGTTAAAACCAACCTTTTATTTGTGAAAATTAAAACGATCACCGGCAAAACTCTCACAATTTTTTTAGTGCTTGAGTGTCAGTTTATATTTCAGTATGACATCCATACTTTTTGATACGACAAGCCAATTTGCCAAAAGTGAACCTAATTTTGAGCATGTTAATTTACATATTAAGCAAAAATTATTGTTTGGAGAACCCAGTCAAATTTTGAGATCCAACTTTTTAAACAAATATGTCAAAACAGTAAGTAAGATTGACATTATGATTTTTGGGCTGCAGACAAGCCTAACAAAAGACTCTGTCTGTCGGGCAGTTTTAGATGGCAACCTCTAGGTGGCCTAGTTATTTTGCATAGATAGCTAAAAGCTTAAAAACTATTCATTGAGTATAAACATGTTAAAAATTAATGAGGGTGCTGTGTTTTTTTCTTGGTGGAAAATGAATGTTTTGGTTGAAATTAAGACTTCTGTCAATGGTGAAAATGTTTTGAGAAAGGTACTTTGTAAAGGAGAAAATTCTACTCAATATAGCTTCCAGTTGAGGTTGAAAAAGTGAAATTATCCAAGTAAACTGTGTTGATTCTCAAAGATACTGAGCTGTAGGCTGAGTTGAATTTATAATTATTGCCAAGGATGATGCTTTTAGTAGTGAGGAAATTAATTTTTATACTCTCTTTGTCTTGAGTGGCATGTTTGCCACAGACCCTTACACCATGAAGTTCCTTGGTTAGCTGGAAGAAAGTAATGTTGTTCAGTTTTGAAACAATTTGAATAACTTCTGATAACACTGTCACAAGTTATTCAAATCCTTTCAACATTGAACAACATTACTTTCTTCCACTTAACAAGAAAGTGCTGACTAGAAAAAAAATGTGATCCTCTTGTGGATTCTTATTTGTCCCATTCTTCAAGAGACAAAGTGAAAGAAGTAGCATGTTACTTTAAATCAAATGAATACAGGAGTGTGACATTGAAATTCTTCAAGGGTGAAAAAGCAAATTTGTGGAGTCCATTAATTAACTTGGTGTAATTGTCATGGCATAGTAAAATCAATGGCCGCATAAATTGTAAAAGAAAAATAGAAGGTCCTGGTACATCAAAAAAGTCTCCCAGCCTTGATAAAATTTTACCGAGGTCGTCTTGCATCGAGGACCAACTTTTCACCAGTATCAGGTTTCCACAGTGCCAGTTGGGTTGTAATTTATCAGTTATTAAGTCAGTCCTAGGAATTTGTTGTTTTGGTTTACCTCCAAAATTGTTTCCAGATGAATTAATGAACATTTATACATTCACATCATTCAGTGGTTTAACATACACTTGGGATTAACAAGCAAAAATAATGTGAGACTGTTTTAGGAGTTTTTTTAAAGGGATTATTTTCCCACTTTAGTTTCATTTTCTAGTATTTTGGCAACAAGTTTTCAAAATACATCCACTGGCATTATTTGGAAATGGTCCATGTAGCATTAAAATAGGGTGCATGCAAAACCTGTTGACAACCCAAAGAAATCTCATATTGAAGTTTTTTTGTAAATGAATTCCTACTTAAAGTTTGGATTATTCAGAAGGGCCATTTATATCTCTGCTTTTCTGTTCCCATTTTTTGCCTGTTCTATTGTGTAATAGGGTTGCATATCTTGTGCATTCTGTTGTCCCATTGTGACAAAATGTTGTAACCCTTTAATAGTAATAGTAATAATAGTAGTTATAAGTTTATTGAACACTCCCTAAAAGGGTTTTTCAGTGAACAGTATAATACAATAAGAATTAAAAGATATACGTGTATAGTAAAAAATATAAAACTATATGTTAAAACTATTTTGTTGTAAGAACAGAAACTCATTCAACATCCTTGATTTTAAAGTTTTCTTAAAGTTAGTGAGGTCTTTACACTCCTTTAGTCAAGAGTGATCAGCATCTAATTTCTCCTTACAATATCACCCCTGAATTAAATGTTAAGGTCAGGAGAATAAAGGAAATGATCATTAACTAAAAGTAGCTCCTGATTTTTAAACAAATTCTCTTTGCCAGCATCATAGAAAATGTGTGGAGAGCAGTATGGAGAATATGTATACTGATGTAAAAGTGTAAAGAATTATTTTATTCAATGATTCAGAAACTGGGAGTACACACTAGCAGGAGGCCTAGGTCAACTATTTTTGAAGCTATCATTTGGTGATCAAAACTCTAAGCCTTAAAATGGAAGAAAATAGGAAAGTGAGCACTTTTCACAAAATGTACTGTAACCTCAGACCATAAATGCCAAGTGATGACAGCGTCTAAGCTTGGTACAGGACTACTATACATCTCGAAACCAAATTGGCAACTTCATTGTAGTGTTGTTTTTAATTCTTGTTGCTCATTTAAAGCTTCACTAAGTAGAATGATTCATTGTCATTTTACAAAAATTCAGGTGGATCTCCACATGTGCAGTAAATTTAATGATGGTGAGGAGTGGCCCAGCCTAGGCAAGAATTTACTGCTTCCAATACATCTTATTTTATCAAAACTATTCCTCTGGGTTTTAATTACAGACACCTGTATTTTTACATCAAGACAGTTATATGCAAGTTTGTCAGTCTAATGACAAGCCAACTTTGTTAGTACAGTTTATCAGATTGGCTGTCTTCTAAACCAAATCTGATTTATTCTACTGTTAGGGTAAATTTTTAAACATTAAGGCCTGAAATAATTATTTCAAAGCTATTGACTACTACAGATAGAGATCTTGTATTTATGTAATAAGGGTGTTATCTGGTCCCTGAGTCATACCAACTTATAACTATTACTCTTAACACCTTGTGGGGGTCCAATTGAAAATAACAATGTTAAATAAACCAAATTTCACCTTCTGTGATGTATTATTCATAGCTTTGGCTCAAATAGAGACATGAGGAAATTACTCTATGCTTGAGAGCTATCTCTCAAAACCAATTTATTTTTTCTGCATGTGCCAAGTTTCTGTTGTCATGTACATGTACTACTTAATTTAGTTGAAGTCTTTCATTTGGGGTTTGGTGATTGTCATTTCTGTCTTGATTGTGACTGAGATATCAACGCGAGTTATTTTCCATTTTGACTATTGTAAAACTGTAAAGATATCTTGGAATACCATCTGGAAAGCTAAAGAACAATTTATTTTTTTGGAAGGAAATTGCTTGGCAGGAGATGTTTTGTCTGCAAAATTAATATCTACAGGAGTGAGGAGGTGTCCTAATTTTGATTGTAGCTTTTTGGACAGGTGTTGGAAGATAATTGAAAAGAAAATGCAATCATCAACAGCTCTGACAATTATTGCCTCTGGAATAATTTTTTTTATATTTCTTTGTAAGCAATGATCACCGAAGGCTTTGTCTAAGCCGGTGGCAAATGGTTGTGGGGAAGAAACTTGATATTTTGCTTGTAGATGCATATTATATAAATTCCACCCAAAACAGCAGTAAATGATTGGTTCATAAGAGATGCTACTGGTATCATGCCACATGTGTACTTTCATTGATTAATTTTTCCTTACCCACCACAGTTTTCTCACTAAGATCACTGTTCGAACTGCTGTGGTTTGATCGCATGCTTCCATTTGCTGAAACATTTTGATTTATTGATTTCTTCACTACCACTGTGCAAGGTTTCAGTTGAATTTTAGGCATCACTACTGGAAATCAGAATTGTGAGTTGTGAAGTTTGGGCTTGAGATTTCTTGTTGGTTACGAAATTGTGTGGTTGTCCAAGACAGTGTTTAAGGCACATGAAGCAATAATTTTGTACTTGTAGACTGCACGAAGGTTGATAAAAAAAATTTTTTGGAGACCCAAGGTCTACCTGTATAGTAGTGTCTAATTTGTGGTCATTTCTGTCTTAGTACTATTTTACATAATAATTATATAAGTTAAAGATATTTAAGATTTGCTGTAAATTGAGAACAGATAAGCAGTCAAATTTGGTAATTATTCTCTGAAAAGATGTGAGATAAAATCAAGATTTTGTAGTTTCCATTGCACACATGCCAGAACTGGTAGCCAGCAGTTTGTCATTCCACAGGGAGTGACTGGTAGATATACAAGTACATCATCTTATGCTTATTTTTGTACCTCTTTTGTGTAACTAGTTGTACATTTAAATTCCTAAATAAATGTTGCTTTATGTCATTGGCAATTTAGGAAGATTAACCACAAGATGTTTCCATTCTATAGTAACACATCCTTGCTGCTCAGGGACCTCGTGTCAGTCTGCTGAACAAGCAGGGAGGTGTAGGAGGGCCTTCACTGTGCCAACTACACACACTATTCACACCAGCACTAAGGCTCATCCTGCAACTTCTTGATTAAAAATCAATTATGAAACGGAACTGGAACAATTTATTTAAATCCAGCCAGACTGAATCACATCATTCAATCAATCAGATCTCAGCTTATTCAGTAATCAGGGATGTAAAAAATGCCGCTGCCTTTTCAATCGGCGGTCAACTTATTAACTTGTAGGGTTGCAAAGTGGAGATGTCATTTGCTGCATTCAATGTATATGAAATTTAAGATTCAGTTGTTAACCACATAAATGAATTTAGAGGAAAAAGCAAATTTAGGGTGAGAAACTGACTATCAAGCATGAGCAGTAACCAGTTTGGTGTTGAAGTTTGTTCTGTTGTCCTAAAATCAAATCAAGGGTGTTCCTGGTGGCCCCAGTCTTACCCTTAGCTGATAACTCTTTTTCACAGTATGTATGCATGCTGATGTTTATGTTTATTGTGTTTGTTGATCTTTTTTTTTTTTTTCAACTTGCTTGTTGCTTTGTTATTTTTATCAGAATTCATAGAAGGAGTTTCACAGTTCAGTGTAAAGGGGGACAAAGAATCCAAGTTAAAATGTAAGTTCATATGAGTACATCAAGAAGGTTAATGATTAGTCAAGAACAGTACATCTACAGCACATTCTCTAAAAAGAGTTTAAGTTGATTTATCAACTTGAGTATTCTAAGTATTCTTCTGAGAGTCGGGTCTACTTGCTCTTTGTCCCAAAGTCCACCAATGTTTAAATATGTTGGAAAATTTTACTAACCATGTCGGGTTAGTTTGACAAATAATTTTTAGTCACCAAATGTTGAAAATTACTAACCATTCGTTAACGGGTTACCGTTAATTTCGAGCCCTGAGCAAGGAAATCATCATTTCAGTTAAGCACCAGGATGCCTTGCTTCTTGTCAGCCTTCACCTAACCTCTTTCCTTTCTGTTTTACATAGTTGCCTTTAGGATATATGATATGGATAATGATGGTTTCATATCAAATGGAGAACTCTTCCAGGTTCTTAAGATGATGGTAGGAAACAACCTCAAAGAGACTCAGCTACAACAAATTGTGGATAAGACTGTAATAAATGCTGATAAGGATGGCGATGGGAAAATCTCTTTTAGTGAATTTTGCGCTGTAAGTAAACAGATTAATTGTTGCATGTTTTTAAATAATATTTTAGGTGTCGCTAAATGATCAAACATTTAGGTGGCTCAAAACCATGTGTAAGGATTTTTTTTTAAACTCTAGTATGATGATGGCATTTTTAGACCCACCTTATTAATAAAGTAACATGACAAAACTTTGGAGTGCATGCTATTAAAGATTCAGAAATTTATGATTAGGTACGAGCTAGAGAAGCTTACAAAATGTTAGGAAAACTTGAGCATTTGCCCTGATTGAACTGTAATGCGAGATTGAATTTGCTCTTGAACTCCTAGAGCAGATCAGCATGTACATGCAATTTTCTTCGCAAGTTTAATTCTCCTCATGGCCAAGCAGTTTTGAGAGTGGTCAAACCTATTGGTTGAATAGCCTTATCTTGATGTAACTCTAAATTCTCCTTGTAATTTGTAAGGAAACATTTAACATCCAGAAGGGAGAATGCAGTTAATAATTATTTATCAGACTTTTTGCAGTAAAGAGTTAATTTGATTACTTACCATTGATTGGCAGGTTGTTGGTAATATGGATGTTCATAAGAAGATGGTAGTCGACGTCTAACAAGATCTTAATGAACTAAGTCCTTGAACTATTTATTATTCTTATTTCCACGCGGAGACATTTTGTAAAAACAAATGAACAATGATATTCTTGACTTCTATCTCTTGTTGCTGTTGCTGCTACTTTTTAAGGAAGCATCACTGCAGCCATTGGTTAATTCTTGTGGTAAAGTTACACGAAAAAAATCAATGAAGTGCTGTCCTTGCTCGAAACAAAAGATGCCAGCTCGAAGCAGATGCAAATTGTAAAGAAATAAGAAAATATACGACCATAGGATATAATTATATTATACAGTAAGCAACAAGCCACTCACAAGAATGTCTGTGAAATGGAACCAGGGTCTATGGTTAGAAATAGGGAAGGCTTGGGTTTTGTTGAATTTTATTAACTCTGACTCTTGAGCACTCACATGTAGCATTTTCATGATTCTACCATAACCCATGCACAAATGCATGGTTATGTTTTACAATTTCTTAATTTTTTTGCTCCTATTATTCATCAGACTGACTTCCCAAAATTATTAAAAGGTCTTTCGTTTTAGCTTTCTTTTTTTGCCTATAGTGTAGTCCTTAAACATAAACAGCATGCCCTTGCCTGCTCTCCTAGATTTATAGCTTTTTGATTTATAGACATATTCAGACACTGAAGAATGAAACAGCACAATGTCAAACCAAAATTAAACCAAGACGCGACAATATGCTTCAGAAGTACCAAGAATTGTTGATTATTTTGACAAACTTTCCAGGTGAAAGGTGAACTTCTTCTCAAGAACTTCCCCTAACACACGTATATATCTTTCTCTTAAAGCGATTTTTAATTGATTAATGCAGTTAATTTTAGTGTAGCTAAGATATCATCATTGCCTTGTATAATTCATAAAAAAGGTTTTGTGAAATGGACGACTCTTGTTTGATTAGCAGGTGAAGAATACTGGACCAAAATTATCCTCCCAAATAAAAGTATACTAGGATAAGATCCCCCATCACGAAATCCTTTTCATGCCCTTACGTCACATGAAGAAATAGATTCAGTGATACCAGATGTATGGTCTGTAATAGAGCTTAGATGGCGTCAAAATGTGGTAATAATATAAATGAAGCGTAGCTGAGTGTGTCATTGATGTTCTTCTCGCATTTTGACTCATCTTTGATATATATGTGTTATTCACCAGTCTAGGTCGGTCCGTATCTAGTCTCCCACGCAGCCGTTTTTGGTCTCGTCGCGCAACGTTGCGTGACGAGACTAAAAACGGCTGCGTGGGAGACTAGTACGTATCTGCACGAGGCCTTGGATAACGCCCGAGGGCGGTCCTCAAGACAGAGGGCACTGTTTTTCCCAATACAGACCCACCTAGGCTGGTGAATTCACTTCTATTTTTTTCTAACGCTTAAGGAAATGTAACGAAAGGAACCCGAATGATTAAGAGCTACAATTACAAGTTTGACTACGGGAAGATCCTCCCAGCTGAAAAATTATTTGGCGAGTCGCTGGCAAAGAGAACAGAAGCTATTTGAATTAAAGGGAAACGCTTCACCGAAATATTATTGTTACCGACGTTTTGGTAAGTGTAACTTGTTGGGCTTCCAAGCAAACTTTGAAACATATTTTGATAAGTATCTGTCACGATCTGACACCCGTTAATTGAAGAGGGAAAATAGCGCACGTACACTTCTGTATGAACAACGGTGCTGGTATGGTAAGCACACACGAGTTGTCTCTTTAAAAAAAAAAAACACTCAGAGATCTTACGGAAAGTATTTTTCATTTCCAGCCACGGTTAGTCTTCGAAGATTCACCTCTGTTCAGTGTTAAATGTCACGGAAATTCAAATTGTAAGTGAATTCAAATATGTGTTTTGGAGTTGTGAGACATTGTTTTCTACAATGGCGGGAAGTTTAGAGAGCCAAAAAAAAAACAGATGCAAAAGAGTTCCTCGACGAAGCACACTTAACAAACAGGAAAGTGGAAGTTTTTGACCAGCAAGAGTAACATTTGGCATATATAGATGATTTTCTAGCAATATATAGTAAAGCATTTGCTAACAAAATGTTCTTTCCTCTCAAAAAGTTTTTCATAATATTATATTCCAAACACACAGAAAGACAAAATCATTTTGCGGTATAAAAAGCTTACAATTATTATTTTTTCCTTATTCGGGAATACGTGAAAACCTAGATGAAACATTATAAAATATGTTTCTCATAACATACCAAAAACATTCAAATACCTAGCTGGTGGGTATAATATATTCAAATGTGAAGAAACAGGGTAGCGATATTTTGGGCCATTACTTAAAAAAAATTCCCATTTTTTGAAGCATCCGAAGTCTTCATTTCGCTCTCAAACAGATTTCCGATTCGTTAAACGTGCCTAAAAAAATAAGCAATATTTGTACTGACAAAAGAAATTTCAGCTTGCATAAACCTTTATAGGGAACCACTGCTTTTAGAAAGCAGTCTTAAACATTTTTTAGAGACCGATATTTTGGTCAGTATCCTTTTATTCCTTTTTCACGCAGGCTCGTCGTGCTTTACGCCAGGCTGCATTTGCCACTCATCGGTCAGTTTTCTTATTATCACGGATTCGCCCTGTCTGTCAATTTTAATCAAACAGTCAACGTCGATTCGATGAACTGCAAAGAAATCATGCCAAGAAATTCAATCAACTAAGTACAATTTCAACGTAAAACCCAGTCTCCTTTGCAGCAGTCTTTCGGGATGTCACGCAACGCTCCCCCTCTTTCGGGGGAGCGTTGCGTGACATCCCGAAAGACGGCTGCGAAGGAGACTACGTAAAACCAAGAGTCTAGGTGAAGGCGTTAATTCTAATCAAGATCTGATCAAGAATTATACAAAGGCGGGGCTATAGCTACACATTATCTCCTTACATACACAGAGAGTTGAAATGGACGGATGTCAATGTCCCTTTCCTCAAACAGAACTTACAGCATTCACAAAACAGCGACAAGTCTACAGAATGTCCTTGTCCCTAAATTAAAATTGGGTCTTGTGGTTTTAAAATTTTAAAATAGAACTGAAGAGATTACGAACATTGACTCTGGTTTTTCTCTTGGTACAGTTCCAGCAGTTCCCGTCTCTATGTTATCTATTATATTACGATTTTTAACAACTTACGTCGTCAATAGTGAACACTGCCTTCTCTGATTGTCGTCGACCTCGGCCCATTGTGTGTCTTCTAAATGTATCTGGAGATAATGAGAGAGTAATAAATGTTACTTCAAGAGAAAAATGGAATATATGCACTAATGTATCCCTGCTGACAATTCAAAACGATGCTGGCCCATCAGGGCTTTCCGCCACTGATAAGTAAGAAGACCTTTACTTGAATGAGTCCCAATTAAAGTCTCTACTGACGATTTTTAGCATCGATTCTGGGATAAAGCAAAGTAATTCTCATCAAGGATACTTACCGAACATGACTATGACACGAACTAAAATCTGTATGAAGATATCGAATGGAATGGTTCCTTTCTTGTTGTGATAACGCAAGATTATTGCGCTCAGCGCAGAATTACTGAGCTGATATCCTGCAAGGTAAGAAATAACGAGGTGGAAATTAAAGAAATTGCAATGAAAGGAAAATGTTCAAAAGCGATTTATAATGCAACCAAAGTAAAGCGCGCGCTCTGATTGGTCAATTTAGCGTCCCCCATTTGCCCATGGGTGTACGCTGCTGACGCGAGCATATGCAAAGACTATTTTTCCGCGCGCGCTTGTTTTTTCTGGTCACGTAAGATTTATTAAATAAAAGGGAACTCTTTAGCTACAATGTATCAATGTTATGTTATAAAACAAATGGTAAACACCACAGCGTACACTATTGAGTTATGGATGCANGGAATGACAAGGACACATCGAAACCAGTCGCTAGACATTTTAATTTACCCAATCATTCTAAGCAACATATGGCAATCTGCGGTCTTTCCTTGCACTTAGGTGGCACGGAAAGCCGTAAAAATCTTGAACAAAAGCTCATCTTTCAAACCGGCAGTCTAAATCCCACAGGGATCAATGAACGCTTTTCATTCCACTAATTTATTCATGTTTTTCTCGTTGCCATGCACCCACCAATAACGTAGCTCCATTTTCTGCCTTTAAAAGCACACACAACCCACAATTCCTCTATTCGCTCCGACGAAGGGCTAACGCTCGAAACGTCAGCTTTTGTAATCATTACGGTGGCCAATTTACCATTTCAACTTTGTTGATATATCCAAATTATTTGAAATTATGATTTCCTTTCCGGGTACACTCCCCTGTTCCAATGCGTAACATAATCGAATTATCTAAAATAGAAATAAGATGGCCAGTCCTGTAATCGTTTCTCGAAAATTCCTTTACTTACTAACACAGCAACATTTCTATCCCACTGCTTCGCTCAAGCCAATTATTCCTCAATAAATTTAAGGGACCTTGAGCATTTTTGATCGTAACCTCCGGACCTGCGTCCCTTGTTGTTACTGAGAAGGTTACATAGACCTAATAAGATTTCGCTGAAAAAGGAATGCTGTAACAACGCCAAGACAGCCTGCTCGCTGGCTCTTATTTGACAAGGAAGTCCTAAGCAGTTAGAAATACTCTTGTAACAACCTTCCACTGTCCAAGAATTGTCCACAATCCTCGAAACTCATTATATCCTAGCGCTCCTGTTTTGTCACCCTAAAACAGATGTTAAGGGTAAACGAAAGAGGAGATCTGCTGAAATGAGCATAAGAAGGGCATCATTTAACTGTATTTTAGTCTCGTACCCAGGAATTTCACGGCCTGGTAGTTGTAAGTGGGATCAAGTAGGACCTGAATACGAACGAGATTGGCTCTATTTATTACAGTGTCAAGAAGAAGTATAACAAAATGTACAATTATCAAAGCGGCTGACACTGAGTCCTTAAGTAGTTTTACTTTTTCAAGTATAGTTGGATTTTGCGTCAGCGTGAAAGGTAAGACTTGCAGAAGGTTTGGAAGTCTTTGGATGTTTAGTGATTTGGAAATTTAAATTAATGCATAAAAATGTCGCAATGTGTACTTTGACAGTTTAGAAAATTAATCAAATGTAAAAATCATGGCGTATCTTCTAATTTTCCATTTTCATGTATTTGAAGGATACATCAAACATTGCAATCATACTCCTGTAGATAAAAAAAATAGGACTATTTTAATCATAATGAAGATTGCAATTCGCAGGGTATTGTAGTGTTTGTTCCTATTTGAATAAATACTTCAGCTATTTGATAATCTTGACCGCAGTCACGTGATTACCCTTACAAATCGTTGTATGTATTTACGTTCATGGCTATTCTAATAAAGCAGTTGTGTAGAGTACATGGCCTGATTAACGTGTTACTCTAAAGTAGTGCATCGAACCCTTATACACAACAGGTGTCAATTGATGTCATAGTTTAAACTTCATTATCAGTTTAAAGAGAATTTTACCTGCAAGCTTCCAAGCTAAAAGTGTTGGAGTTCATCACTGAAATTTCACATTAAAATAGATATGTTAGGCAAAGAAATAGCCGGATTACTTCTTGGAAAATGCGCGTGTACGATTTTGATTCACAAGTAAGTAAATCAGATGATGCTTAGCAAGTGGAATGCATTTTATATAGGCTTAACGGAGTCACGACCCACGCTGGATGTTGATAGAACACGAGAGAAGTTTAAAACAAAATCCCTAAGACTGCAGTGTCTTTAACAATACAATTAACGGTAGGTTATCAACCAATCCAAGCGCAATTGTTAACTGATTTAATTTTAAGAAGAGAAGTGTATTGCAGCGTCAAAAGCTGCTGTATACTTACTAGAAGCAAATGCTTTGGTCAAGATCTCCTGCAGTTCATATTGATCAACTTCGCCATCCTGCATAGGAAATAGAAAGCACAAATGATTGGTTATAAATATATGATACAATATCTTAAAGATCAATAGGATGGAAGCCTGAATAGCTTTAGCCTAGTTTAATACCGTCCTATCAAATTCTTCAATCTTGAGTCCGGAGTTACATGGGGGTCTTACATGTAAGCTGTTATATAAGGATCTTCACGAGGTTTACCGATAGCTGTAAAACGGCCAAAAAAACTCAGCTGATAGAAGTAAAAATTCTCAAATTTTAACTGGTAGTTGTAAAAAGGTTAATCACAAAAAAAGAATATTTGTCATAACAACAATGGCCAAAACTTTAACAGTAAGCCGTAAAAGCCATCACCCCTTTGAGTCCTTCTTACATTGTTGGAATGACAGGCCATCGAGTGTTGAGGTTAAATCAATACATCATTTACTCACGACATATATACTTTTCTTTCAGATTCCCTTTGGATATACTGACACTACTCTTCACCAATTTTTCTTTACTACTGACCTCTCCTGAAAAGCTTTGAAACGTGGTCCAAAATTTTTTATCGATGTCTCCGGCCTCCTCTGTTGACACTGTTGGCTAGATGAAGAGTGAAAAGAAAAGAATTACTTGGAAACAAATTTGATTAAAATGGTAAGTGGAGACAGAAGTCTGATCAAAGACGGCTCTTCGTGCGACCAGATCTCAGTGCTGGTCTGATATTTTGTTGCCGAATCCACCACGCTATCTTTGTGGAAATCAGTGTAGATGTGTTCATCCAAGAAGGTGACTCATCCGTTCCCACTCCTTACTCCTTTATTAACATCGAAATTAAAAAAAAAAAAACTTTGCCTAAACAAACCTTTGGTAGCAGCGTTATTTTCGTTTCCGCGTCAATTTCCCTGAAAAGGAGAGATAATGAAACACTAATGCGAAAGAAATTCATACGAGCTTTGAAAACTTTGTGATGTGCTTTGAATTTTACGATTTAGTGTTGAAGAATAATCACTAAACATTTCAAACTTGAAACAGTGCTATACGTGCAATAAGGATAACATTACCCCCTTATTAAAAAGTGATGCATCGAAAGTCTTAAGCAGTTCCAGAGACTTGATTATTACTTGCAACTTGCTGAACAAATTTTGCGCAACAAATGCGCTACTCGTTTTACCTCATATTTTTGTTGTGTTACGTCAAAAGGAAGACATGTCTCTCTTAAGAAGTAGAGGTAATAATACATCTATTGGCTTCAAAGTTTCATCCTTCAAAAAATATTTTGAAGAACGATCACCAAAAAAAGAAAGAAAAATTAAAACAAATTGAGAGACGTGAATGACAATTGCGATTAACTATTCGTGATTCTTCTTTACTTTCCTAACAATTACATACCTTGCGACGTGAGGTTTCTCGGAGAATATTCTTAAAAGAAAGTCGGATTCTTGACGCGGGTAGAACGTGGATGGAACCAGCACGTATTCCCCTTTTGGCAAGGAATATCGACAACTTATCTCCCGCAATTTTGTGAACGAGTTTGTCATCACTTGAGCCTTGGTCGTCTCAAAAAACCGTCTGCCAAAGCGCTCTTTTCTACCTGCCATATCTTCCGGTACCTTGTGTATAACACAATTGAGTTATGTCACTTAAGTTCTACTCCGTAATCGTATAGACAATTTTCTTTGTTTATATGATTCCCAATGCTACGAAGAAAAATTTCAATTCTAATTTGTTCATAAAGAAGGCAAGCAGCTCTTTATCCCAAATCTGTTATTATGGATTAGAATAGAAGTATCAAACAATATTCCTAGATACAGGATAACAACTGCGCAGCCTAAGCACCCTTTGCATTACCTTGCTTGAGAATAACTCAGTTACAAGAGAGTTCAAGTTATTCGTCAATGAAAATTCAGAACTCATTCAGGCAGTTTCAAAGCTAGCTAAAGAAGGTGGCTTCTTATGGTTCTCTGCAAATTATGCCCCTGTTACTAGACACAAATCAAAATGCCACCATTGGTACACGACCTGCTTTTGTCTTGACATTGTGCTCACCTTGTAAATAGCAAATCCAATAGGCGGCCGCTCATTGGCCGGTGTTCTCTTTCGATCAACGCGCATGAGCGACGCCACTATCGAGCAAAGTTCATCGTCATCATCTTCATCCGGGTCTTCTAAATGAATCCTGTGAAGAGTCCAACAGGAACTCGTCGTATCCTGAAGCATGACTTAAAATTACAAAAGCTACCTGCGTTAGCCTTGCTCCAATGTTTAGTCAACCAGAGAGTTCAGTTTAGTAAGGAAGAAATATTTTAAAGAGGCAATTACAAACCAAGATGGAACTATGATAACGAACGGATGGCCAAGATTGAAGCAGATTCTAACTGACGATTTATTTTAAAATTTTTAGGCCAATATTTTTTGTAAAGAATCATAGTATACAGCCTAGCGTTCTTTGCATATATACTTGCATACCTTATTTGAGGATTGATGTGGAACGTGTCTATGAAATTCCTACATCCACCAGCGGTGGCATCAGTTTGCCAGCGCCCTTTTTCTCGTTGTATTTTCCAGGATTTTTTCTTATCTTCTTCCAAAACGCTGTCTGGGGTAAGCATACAGATCTCCACACGGGTAAAGTTCGCCATAAAATCCTCCATTGTCATCCTAAAAGAAAAAAATTTAATAATCGATATGCAAATAAGTAAATAAGTAAATAAAGAAATTATTTCAATAAGGGATTTACCAAAATTCTCCGTCATCGTCGAACACAAGGTCTAGTCGCTTTCGTTCTTCGTTTGACAAGAGATTCCACTCATCAGACCTGAGAGATACGAATTAAGGGAAATTCATTACTGACACACATAGCTGAAAACTGTTCGTCGAAACAGTGCATCCTAATTTGGTTTAAGGAAGTCCACATGCCCCCGATGTTGAGTGGCAAGGCTTCCCAACTTAGTAACTTAGGGTGGTAATAAACTGTCTTCAGATTAGACAAACGTTTTAGCCGAAGCGAGCTTTCTCCTGCATTTTGGGAAAAACATTCCCTACCTTTACCACCATTTGATAAAAAAAAATTGAACCATTTAAATTCTCCACGAGACCCCTCTTGACTCAGAGCATCTTCGAAATTCCAGAAGGAAAAGTCACGTCGACCAAATATTTCTAAAAGGCTTAATCCTGCTACGCTCTTTTTTCCCATTTGGTCGTTATAGTGTACAATGTGAAAAACTTAAAGGCTTGAGGAATCTTTTATCTCTTCATAAACTTAGAAAATGACTAATACCTGTCGCTCCAGGCTCCCTTCCATTCTGAACTATTTCCATGTGGATTTCGGAGACGGATTAGCTTCGCCTCTTGTATTCCCAAATTAAGAAGACTAACCTGAAATATAGAAAAAATATGTAAAGGTGACCTAGGTGGGACCCAACAGAAAGCTATGACATCACCAGTGATGTCTTGAGATGCTACTTTGCAAGGTCATTTACCTTAGTTAAGCCTGTGATAGAGTACGCATGCCCAGTAATAAGTCCATTTGGTAAAGTTCTCTGACCGGATTGAGCATTTGTCTAAAGATAAAAGCGAAAATTGGGATAAGAAAGGAAGTCACCAAACATAATATTCTGAATAACTTTCAAACTTTTGTTTCAATACTGTGTAATCAATACAGCGTTTATTTGAGAATTAAATCCACAAATAAATGCCGAATTTTCAAAGCTGTCCAGGTTCTTTAAAGGCCGTGGAACCTAACCTTTTTCAATTTACTGATAATTTGCAGAAGTTGAAAAGGAAATTGTTAAAATTTCAAAACATATGTGCAAAGCCACTACTACGCTCACTAAAAATCTCTTCGTTGGGCTATTTTGTAGAAGTTCATTAGGAAGTTATCATGTTTACCATGTTTATACCTCTATAGAAGTACCCATCAGCGAGTGGCGCTCAAGAGCTTTTTGTAAAACCCTAAAGACATCTGGAGGTGGGGATTGTAGGTTTATCATTTCAATAACTCCGCCGGTAAAATCTTGCAGCGCTTCACTTATTCGGCCTAATCCCATAGCTTCATAGGATCCGCACACTCTGCAAATATAAAGTACACAGTTCATTATCTCCCTCTGGGATAAATTTTGTTTCTCGAGAAGAAAATGGTATGGCCATTTAACACTGTTTGTCTCAAAGTGTTTGGGGAGTGTTCAGACAAGTAACTTTTCTTGGAAAATAGGCCGTTCCATTGATTCATTGCGCTAACAGCGGTTTCTTAGGGTCTCCGATGGATGAACTGGTCATAAATCTCTTTATATTCAAAACTCTACATGCATACAAAACACCTGACTTCACTTATGTCTTTAGGTCACCTGGCTTATGAGAACATGAATGTTCTCATGAGTTACTTACTTGGCATAGGCTTTTTCTAATAAGGCGCTCCAAAACTCATCTGGATCACTGGATCTAGCGTAATACAACTTGTTATTGTGCGTCGGCAGATAGTCATCAATGATGACCTCAACCCATTCACCAAAACGCCAGAAGTTAAACCTAAACATTCCACAATACGTGCCGGGCTCGAAGCCTTGATCTGGCGGGCAGACGGCATAGAATAATTCCTCTGAGTCTGTCAGCGATGCCACTGCTGCCACAAACCAACAGTTCAACATTCTCCCTTGGGCAATGTCTGTTCTGCTTATTCCTTTGGTGAAGAGATGGGGCTCTGTCCTGCAGATATCCTAAGACGGTGAAAATATTTGTTGCTGTGATCAGGGGGTAGAATGATCTAAATGCTCCAAAAAATGGGAAGACCGGCAGAAAAAGGAAAAATGTAAAAGATCATATTACATGAAAGACGTACCTTTGGTCTTTTCCATTGGAGATTTACAGATGGACGTGTCTTGGTAAAAATACTACGGAAGACTGGCGGGAAATCTCTGTCTTCATACAGTTCGCCTTTCCTTAGGAGCTCTCTCTGCAGGGACAGATATCTCTCTTTTGGAAGGGCTCGCCTCAAAGACATCGTTCATAAATCTCTCAAAAGCAGCAGCTGTCCTAAAGCTGAGTAGACGTAAAAGGCGTAAGAATGTCTCGTAACTGGTATCTATAAACTCTTGAGCTTACAAGGTAAGGCTCTCAGTGGAGTGAAAATAAATATTTTTCTCAGCAATTTGTTCAGATCTTCCACAACTAGGTTTACTCCGTTATTATCTAGACACGACAATAAATTCACCTCAAATTTCAAGCCGTACTGGTTCAACCTGCGGCATGTTTTAGGATCTTTCAGTAACGCTACCATGGCGATATTACTCTTCGTGAGAAAGTAGTATGGCGTTTTTATAAATGAGTAATGTACTGTATTATGCGTCATACCAGTAGGCAGCGTATGGATAAAATAACTAGTTATGATCGATATGGCGCGCGTAATGTGGTAACAAAGCGTTTTGTAAGGAGGTATTAAAATAAATAGTATGTGCAGTTTGTAAATATAAAACAAGGCAGTTTGGTGCATAAGTTAGTGTGTTTGAGAAAGTAAAGCATTGTACTGTGAATAGGTAATGTAATTCAAGGTGGTAATTATAGCTAAAGTGACAATGTCTTGACAAAAATGACAGTTGAATCATGTTTAAAGGAACATGTTATGATTATTGCACAATAATTGTAATTGTTAGGCAGACTGTAAAGAAAAAATAAACTGAATTATGTAGAGTGCCAAGGTTAGTTATGTAAGTAACTTATTTGGTGGAAGGTGATAGCGCTGTCATATTATGAATGTTGTACGTTATGAAGACACAAAATTAATTTTTAAACTCGTTTAAATTTTTCATTAATAATAATAAATAACTGTGCGCCAATATCTATATGCACTTATACCCACGACGAATCGACATAAAGGCGCACAAGAACACAAAGCAACGTTAACATCACGGCTCAAATGTAGCTTGCGAGCCTGGCACCCTCATTATAGGTTCTTCGGCTCGAGCGTTGCTTCGTACGCGGAAAAATGTAAGTTCTTGAGCAATGAGAGGCTGCGAGAGGTCTGCCTGCTGCAAGTCCCAGCTATTAGTGCCAGTCCCCATAAACCCCTCCCCGACTCATCTTCAATCTTCCCGTGGACGGAGAAACGTGCATCCTTTATAGAAAGCCTGCTCGTAGGTTACTTCAAATATGGACCCCGGAATGTTGGAAACAAAACGTCCATTTTGGTAATTCAGTTAGTCACAGCCTAAGCCTGCTTAGCAAACATTTCTTTCGTCAGACTTCCGTAACCGTCACTTTGATCTATCAATAAACACTGATTAGTTCAAACGCAAGGAGTCAGGGAGACTTTTGGAAAATAAACCTGGCTCCATAAGAATTCAGCTGCGAAACCTTTTATTTTCCGAGTTACTTTACCTCTTTCCCGTGGGGGAGGGGGAGGGGGAGGGTCTCTTTCTTCTTTCGCCTCGTGAAAACGAGGTTGGTCCTTCATTGAGTCCTTTTCTCATGCCTGCAATTTCGTTCTTGTCGTGTTCTTCCTTCATTTAACAAGTCTTCCTCTAGAGCTGGAATTTCTGTCTTTTGACAAGGCTTATGTCGAGTAAATTGTAGCAAATAAAAAAAAAAAAAAACCAGGGCGTTCAAACAATAACGGCTCTTTTTCCGGGCCTGATCAAGGCAACCACTCCGTCTTCTATTTTACATTTAATCGCCGTGAATCCGCGCCTGTTTAGGAGCGTATTTTTTAATGTCGCTCTGGATTATCTTTAATCACGAGATGGCATCGTGCCTGTACATCAATGAAAAAAAATTGATTTCGGCGCACACAAGAAACATATAATTTAAAAACTTAATTAATCGTGCATTATAAGTGCGAGCATTAGCGTCCGAAGAGATAATCCAACTAAGATTTAATTAGATACGATGAATATATGAAGTTCATATATTTTGAACTGCGGTTATTGATACGTATGATGCACGATCCTCGCAGTAGAGAGCGCTATTTATGCAATAGCGAAAATCAGACCTGATAAAAATCAGGCCTGTACGGGATTCGATTTTTTTTTTGGTCCGATTTTCGCTATTGCATAAATAGTGCTCTCTACTGCGAGGATCGTGCATCATACATAAGATTTAATTATCATTAATTTTGGTTTACCAGCCAAACTAGATTCAAGCGTGTCTGGTACGGCCCGCCTCATTTTGTAACGTGGTTATCTGTTATGGCTTCGACCTTTCGTCCGGGCTCATCCATTAATTAAATAGGCCGAGTTTGGTTTCGTGGCTCTAACCAAGAAATATGTGAAAGTATTGCTTTTTTATTCCACAATCAAAACTATTCTAGCCCTTAATTCCTGCTAAGTACACAACGCATTAATTCATGAGCACTCAAGGACTTAATTAATTCCATTTACGGAACAATTTCAAAATATTACAATTTAAAATGAAATAGATCTTATCTGTTTTGTATTTCTTACAATATGTTAGACCTCATTCGTAATGCCTTCAATCGTGGTTCGGTTTTCCAAGTTTAAGTCCCACACTTTCTGTTTTCTTTCATCAAAGTTTCGTTCCGTTATTTACGTTTGAATTTTAATAACCTAACGAACGTGCAGCATAACCTCAAATCTTCAACGTTTCACAGCAAGTTGTGGCTGTGATTTTGTTACCTTTTAACGAAAGGTGTATGAAGCAGGCATTGATTCTATTTTCTCGAGCGTATACATTTGTATTTCAAGCCACTGCTGATTTAACAGTGAAAGGAAATGAGTTCCTTTCCTCTGCTATGTCACGACAGGGATTTACGGATTTGGAATACTGAGTTGTTTTGATGATTCTGGGCCGAAACCTTTGCTATTCACAGACAACAGGTCAATAAAATTCTCATAACATCGACAGATAGTTTGATCTGGGCGTCCAGGGGTCCATATAATACATAAAGCAGACTCAGTGGATCTAGTCGGTTTCAGCTCGCAGCTAGCAACTCGGTTTGTAACGTGTTGCAGTTTTCCATATTTAAAATGTTTTGCCTGACAGTAAAAATGCAATGAAAGCGGCGTTCTCGTTTGGCACAAAATTCATGCTAATGTTCGACTCGCTCGTCGCTCGATGGCCCTCTCGCAGTTGGCGATCCAACGAATACAGCCAGAGCGGTCAAGAAACAGCCCTCCTCGTGATATAATTATTGGTTTGCATAGATTACTGAAAGCGCTGGTTGCTTTCTTCACTTAAACCTCAGTACTCATTAAGCTGCTATGACGCGTTTATCAAAGTTTTACAACTCACCTAAACTTTGCTGCGGCTTGTCCGCTCGTATGGCGTAGAATTGTATTCTCTGTGTTCAAAAGTATGCTAATTAGATTGGTCTCAGCAATTCGTGTTTTTGTGTCAGTAGAGCCCGCATTGCTTGCAAAATAAATAGCTTTCGAGGCGTTCACAATTCAATGGGATCTCCGTACCTTCGATCCACACTTGGTTGAGTCATTGTCTGTTAGCAGTTATTTACAAAGTGTGATTAAAATCGTTGTTACTCGATAGGGGGCTGATGTTTCGATCGAAAGGCGAACTTGCGAACCAGTGTGATATTGTAGGAAACCCTTAAACACAACATACCCTGAGTTGTATGTTTTTGTTGTAATGGCTTTTTTTGAGGTCGGCTGTGGTTTATAAATTTTTTTGACTTGACAGGTGTGTTATGATAGTTTGTGCAGTGGTGTTGTAAGTATCTAGCGCTATCCGACGCCTGAGCTGTTTTTGTTTACATTCTTCAACATTTTACTGCATGCAAATTAGGCTTTGTTTTAGACACGCTCAAAACCACATGTGGGCACTTGGTCTAGACAGTCACCATTGCGCATGCCTAACACCAACAATGGCGTCCCCACTGGCGTCCCAAGGTCACCATAGCCTTTATGCTAAATTATTTTATGATTCAGTTGGTCCTGGGTAACTGACATTTACCAAAGGACCGTCAGAATATTGCGGCGAGAGGGAATGAAATTTGAAACTCAAACAATCACTACAACCAGTTACCAACCGTTGTTTTCCTTTCTTTTTTAGGAAAGGATCGAAACAAAAGAACCATTTCCCTAACCCAGTCTTTAAATAGTTTGATTATGCCGGCAGACGGTGAGGGTAGCATCAGTGATTTGGCTAAGTAGGAAAATGTGAGTCACGGGAAAAAGTTATCGCTAGTTCAAACAGAAACGCACATACCAAAAATGTATAGAAAGAAAAAATGGCTAAATTAAAGTGAAATCTGTTGGTGTTAACGCCTCCAATTATTTATTTAGAGCAAGCAATCTGATCTGCACCAAACATACTTTCAAGAAAGAAACGCGACTTTCCATTTCTACATTGTCTCTGAAATTCTAGTCTCCAATCATTTTCCATGGGAGCGACGGTGGCCTCTTGCAATTATATTCCACTACAGTTCTACTACATTACAAAAAGTGTTTCATATGAGTCTTAGTACTTCTGCAAGTAATTCTTATATCACTGAACAAGAATGTATCCCATAACTTTAATGTTATTGTTGCCATTATCTGGTCTCCAGCTTGCCACGTTTCCACAAGTGTTGGTGTCATCAGGATAACCTGCGGTTCCAAAACCAATCCTGGAATAACAACGATCACAATATGGATCAAACCCATCGTTACCCACGATACCGATTCGAGCCTTAGGCGGTTTTTTGTCATATCTAAAACCCGTGCAAAAAGTGTTGAACCCTTCCTTGTTGCATTTGCGTTGTAGTGAGGCGCTAGAGTCAAGCAGTGACTTCCAATTGTTACGACCCAGCAAGGTTGGGCGGTATTGCCCATCGGCGATCAAGGAATACAGCGAGTCTGACGTCTTTGTAATGAGGACGAAGTTAATTTTTTGGCCGTTCTTCATACCGAGACAGATTTTGGAGAATTTTGTTTTCCAATAAGTTGGTAACTTTGTCTCTTGTTCGTCAAAGCCACTCATCCCCGCAGAAGCGTTGTGTTCATCCATGTTGCTCCAAATCGCGGAATCGTAATGGAAGGCGTCCTTCGAAATAGAGTCGAGATATTACAAACAGAAGAAAATAATATTTCCATAAGGTCTTAGTAGTAGCAAGTATGATAAATATTTTAAGAAATAGACAACTTTTTTGAGAGACATGTTTCGGCATGCTTATGCCATCTTCAATCAATGAGTAACTGAACGTGAGTAATTATATAACAGACAAGTAGATGAATAAAATATTTACAGTATGATGTAATACAAAAGCGGGTACTAATTACAACGTGACACCAAACATCAAAGGTGTGAACTAAAACGCTAGAAAAGTGTTATAATGCTGTAATTGTTTGTTAAGTTCAGGTTTGATCTTATTTATATAAAAAGCTTCTTTGAGTTTTAAATCAATTACATCATACTGTAAATATTTTATTCATCTACTTGTCTGTTATATAATTACTCACGTTCAGTTACTCATTGATTGAAGATGGCATAAGCATGCCGAAACATGTCTCTCAAAAAAGTTGTCTATTTCTTACAAGAAAATAATAATAGCAAAAATAATGCGCATACACAAATTTTCAACTCTTACAGACGATTTAATCGACAACGTCCTACTAAATACATCAAACAAAACTTCGCATCCGAAAAAAAACACAGTTTCTTCTCAGCTTAAAACTCAACACGCGTCACGTAATAATCACGAGATACGGTGACATTACACATGCGTTACATTTCGTGACATACTTTATTGCAAGCGTTACATTTCGAGAAATTCAGACAAAGACGAATGAAGAAACTTCAAGGTTAGCGTCGAAAGTAATCCCTGAGAGGACAGACTTTTCATTTACTTCTGTGATTAGTCTAGAGAGCATTCGCCACTCTCTCAAATAGTCAGATGCCAAACTAAAACAAATTGCGAATTGGTCACTTGTGTTTTCCCGTACTTCAGGCAATTTCCTCGTTTCTCTCTCTCTCTGTGATTGGCTGTTGTGATCACTCTGGTTTTTTTTTTTACGACGTTCAGTGGAGCAGCGCTCTAAAGAGGGTGTTGTCTACGTTTACAGAGTAAAGTACAGTTATCAAAGAAAATGAATATAAGAGCGATCTTCGCAGTAATGAACACTACTTAAGCAGTAGTGAAAACAAGGCCTGAAAAAAATTCACGCCTGTATAGGATTTGAACCCATGACCTCTGCGATACCGGTGCAGTGCTCTACCAACTGAGCTAATAGGCCAACTGGGAGCATATCATTATGTTGGTTCGTAATAAACTCGTGAAGTCATGAGTCAATGTTTGTGAATAGATTAAAGTCATATATGTGAGGTGTTTTGGTTAGATGAATATGAGAACGATCGTAAAAATTTAAAAATTTACTTTGTTTCCGCCAAAAAAGTTAAGTCTCGTATTTATTTAACCACAGTTCACATATATTCACAAATAAAGCGAATGAGATTATTGAAGCTGGTCTGACCTCAGAAGTAGACTTACTTTTAAAGAATACTCATTCATCGTTTACTGCTCACCTTGGAACCATCCATCTTCATAACCAGTGTCCAACCCCCACCTCCACATTCTTCAAGATCTGTCATATGACAGTAGATCGGAAGGGTAACTGACCCCAACTTTAGAGGATAAGCTTTGTTACCGTCAGATCTGTAAGGTGAAGATATTACCCATCAGCGCTGAAAACAAGCATTGTAATGAAGACGTGGACTTGATTTTATTAATTTGCAATGTAAGCATCAAAAGTTGAACCTGGGAATGGCCGGGACACCAGCTTGAAAACGCTCCATTAAACTAGTCAGCTATTCTATATCACTTCGACAGGAATAGAAATCACTCACTCGTCTTTGTCGTATAACTCCTTGCAGCTTGAACGGGGAACTTGGCGATCTAAGTGTAAAACAGTTGATTAACCCTTTGATCTCGAAGAGTGACTAGCATCTAATTTCTCCTAACAATATTAGCCCTGAATCACACACAGTTAGGTCACGAGAATGAAGGAAATGATCATCAACAAAAGAACCCCTTGATTGTTAAACAAATTCTCTTTGTCAGCACCTTAGAAAAGTAGGGAGAATATGCGCGCTGATGTTAGAGTGCAAAGGGCTGACCACATACATTTCTAAGAACTGGAGGGAAAAATGGGGAGAAAAATTATGGACCGCCTTAGGGACTATAAAGGGCATGTTCTAGAACATATTCTCAGATCTAACCACCTTTGAGTGTTTGGGTCACTTATTATGCTATTAAAGTGCACCTAAACCCAAAGTTTTTTTTTCGCTTAACGAAATAAGCTTATTTTTTGGAGTATTTCTGTGCAAAAATTTTTTAATTTGCTCAAATCTTTAATTTTCTATGCCCAGTCAAAATACGGAAAATCGGCCGCCATCTTGCCCCACGACCGAGTTTAAAGAGGAATGGCTCTAGTGGGTAATGTGACGTCAAATCGAGAACACGAAAGTCTGCTTTTCACACATTTTCACTTGTTTGGGAAGGTTGTAGTCGATAATTGTCCGAAAATATGCCGACTAAGTGTGTTGTAGAAGGATGTAGCAACGTGCGAAATTTGCAAGAGGGTATCGCGCTCCATACAATCTTCATACAACACACCTAGTCGGCATATTTTCGGACAATTATCGACTACAACCTTCCCAAACAAGTGAAAATGTGTGAAAAGCAGACTTTCGTGTTCTCGATTTGACGTCACATTACCCACTAGAGCCATTCCTCTTTAAACTCGGTCGTGGGGCAAGATGGCGGCCGATTTTCCGTATTTTGACTGGGCATAGAAAATTGAAGATTTTAGCAAATAAAAAAATTTTTGCGCAGAAATACTCAAAAAAATAAGCTTACTTCGTTAAGCGAAAAAAATTTTTTGGGGGTAGGTGCACTTTAACTTAAAAGACAAAAAAAAGAACCAAAATTATACTTGGAGCCAATTGCTCCGACTGCCAGGCCCCCACGGCAGAGAGACCGACAGCACGAGATTACTGCGTGATGGCCTCCCCTGGGGTGAGATGGGTTGGGATTATTTGATGAGGGCCGCAGGTTAGAAAACTGTAATAGGTTATTGCGCTTCCCTCTTTAAATAAAGTTAAAGTTAAATAAAGTTAAAGTTAAAAGTTAAAGTTAGACCTCACAATTAGACTGACTGAACACAAACGAGCGACCATCCACACTATCGCTTGGGATTTTAAGCAGTTTTAACCGACCGCAGAGTTGGTTTGACAGGTTAGAAAAGCCGGACTTCTCTGAAACAACTACAGCCACCACACTTGAGTCTTATTCTCAACAATAACTTAACAGATTGGCCTAACTCTACCGACCAATCGAAACTTACCACTCACGCCCCACTTTCGCTACTTGAGTCTTACATTTGATAAATTTACAGCACTGAAAATTGACTAATCAGTTTTCTTGGACCAGACTTGTCACACTCGCTTTACAAGCAACTCCTCATTTAACTGTGAGGATGACTTCCGCTTAGGTTGTCAATACAGCAATCCTACTACCGAAAGCAACCGAGAGCAACCCGACAGCGACCTGACAGCAACCGGAGAGCAACCCGACAGCGACCTGACAGCAACCCGACAGCAGCTGACAGTAACCGACAGCAACACTCAAACCCGGAGGACAACACTACACTATTTAAAATTTCGGGGATGAATAGAACTGACCTTCGTTTTCGGAGCATCCACATCCGTAGCCGATTTTCCCGAACAGTATCAGCACACTCAAAAGGAAAGCAGCGATACAGATGAAGCACGCGATAACTGAAATCCATTTAAAACAGTAGTTTATTGGTGGCTTATGTGTTCTTGGTATCTTCCTTGTAAGATCCTCACACCGGTTGCGTGAATCATCTTTCGTTTTGGTAGAACCCTTCTCTTCATCATGTTTCTTGGTAGGTTGCTGTTTCATGGGCTTTGCGTCGGTCGACTCGTCTTCTACACAGCCTTCGTTTCCAACGGCTTTTCCAAACGACGTGGACATCTCGGATAACTCTCTGTTGAGAGTTTCAAATAAGCAAAAGCAGAAATAATGGGATCTCCATGGGAAAAGGGTTAGATAAAGCTACCATCAAATGTTCGGATTCAACTAAAAAAAACTACCTAATTCATGCCAGTCGTATATGAGTTTTTGGTCCTCTGTTGGGGAATCAGAAAACAGAAATGGAACCGTCCGATTCGCCAATCTAGTTTGGTTTCATTTTACCACAGTAAACTTCACATCTCATTCTCTCTCGAATCATTTTAACGTTTAACAAAAAGTTCTAGTTTTCTTTCGATTCAGCCTCTTGTTTTTACCGCGGTGGTTTTTTTGTCAGCGACATCTGCATGCATGGACTGAAGAATTGGCTACAAATTGTTAATTTTAGCTGAAAATGCCCTGAAACTTCCCAACAAACAAAACGCAACGTCCTACCCTACACTAATAAAAAATTTCTTGCTATAAAACATCGAAATTGCTCACAGCAACTTGACGAATGCCTTTTCCAAAGTTTTCTTGATTTTCCTCTGCAGATTTTTACTGTCTGTGCCTTGGGGAGGTGCTATTAATCAAATATCATGCATTGTCTTATTGAGTATAATAGTCTGAGCTTAATATTGGTTCACTGAAGCAAAACATAATGCACTCTCTTTTTAGAACGGCTTGTTATGGCTTTATGTCTGGACTTCACCGAGCAAGGCTCCATTGAGCTAAAACACCCGGAGTGCCGCCATGATAGGGACCTTAACTATAGACTTTTTTAAACTAGATACAGTTTTTTTTGTCTATTATGTTCAGTTTAAAAAGATTTCATTGAAGATTTTTAGATCATTGGCCAATTTCAAAGTGCGGCAAAAATAAAAAACAATAAAAAATAAAAAAATTCACTCCTCTTCTGCTCACGTAAAAAAGAACTGAATTTTCTCAATGAGGTTACTGACGTATGCTGGAAACCTTCGCACACAGATTAGCTCTTAGTATTTGATTGCTACCACCCACAATCAGCAAATTGCTGTTTTGTGCAGTGCCTTTACGAGCGCGTCAACCTGTCTCCTTACAAAACATGCTTTATTTTCGAAGACGAAAGAATATATTGCATCTGCGCTAGTTCCCCTTTGTTCGTCCTCTTCCTTTTCTTCATACCACATTTTATGATTTTTCTAGCTAGAACCTTAGGTTTCCTCGTTTTTTATCCGTAGCGAATGTTTTTATATCAGGAAAAAGTGATCCGCCTTAAACATTGCACCTTATTTCCAAAACAACCCGGAATGTTTTAAACTGAACTACAATTTTAATCACCAGATCATATCCTAAATGTGTTAGGATTCATTAACCTCCAAGTCCCTGTTTCATTATCTTTTTGCTACGGAATTAATGTCTAATTCTCTAACACGTACTTACTGATCTTAACGCAACGAAAGAAAAGCATCATTTAAATTTTTATAGCGTTTTCCGCTTACTTAAATGATTGATCTAATTAAGTAAACTCTTCCTTCGCATACATTTTCTCCAACATTCAAGGCACCCTGGTGAATTATTTAACACATTGCTCCTATCACGAGAGGCTCCATTTGACTAATTTCCATGAGGTTTACGTTCGTTACAGAAACATTGTAATGTATTATCATAGTCTTTCAAAACGATTATCTTTGATTGGTGCACACGTACGGTTTGGGAGCGAGCATCACCTTGGGTAATACAACTTTTATCATATTCCCGCATTACATAATCCTCTCGATCGTCGCCATGTTGTAGGGAGCAGGATGTCTTTGAAGGGCTACGTTAAAGTACTTCTTCTGGCTGGCTGTTTTCTTCCTCAAGGTAAGAGGTACCACTAAATGAAAAATAAATAATAACAAATAATGGGAAAATAATAATGATGATGGAAAACTTTTCTGTTGGCTTTGTTTTGGGTTTCCTGCACTTTCATCTAGTCTACGTTATTCTAAAATGGCGAAAATTGAGGTTTCGGTTAAAAAAAATTAGTTTACAAGCATTTTTCTTGAAAAGATTTCTGCTGGCTACGTCGCCTGCGGTTGTATTTTAGGAATTGAACTCGACTGATCGTATTTTACTATTATCTGTTTTTTCGTGTATTTGTAACCATGATATTTTACCATGGGCCGGCATCGAAAAACAGAAAAAAATTAAGAAACCAGAAAAGGAAAGTAAGAATGTCTTTTAACGTTTGTGAATATATGAAAATCATGTATGTGAACTTTGGTGAAAGAAATGGGCCTAATTTTTACTACTGCTTAAGTAATGGTCATCACTGCGAAGATTGCTCTCATACTCATTTATTTAACCGCAGTTCACATATGATTTTCATATATTCAGAAACGTCGACTCATCTCTTCACGGAGTTATTGCGAACCAACATAATGACCAGCTCCCAGTTGGCTCGTTAGCTCAGTTGGTAGAGCACTGCACTGGTATCGCAGAGGGCCATGGGTTCCAATCCCGTTAAGGCCTGAGGTTTTTTTTCAGGCCTTATTTTCACTGCTGCTTAAGCAGTGTTCAATACTGCGAAGATCGCTCTCTTACTCAAGAATGTCCTTTGTGTATAAATTTGTGACTGAGTCTGGAAGTAATCGATTTGCAAATGAGATTTCAATCTAAGAGTATAGCCTTTAATTCGAAATGTTATTGTCAACACTTTTCGAGGGATTTTAATCATGATAATGTAAGGGAGCATGTTTACTTTTAAGAGAAAAACCATATTTTAAAAAAGCGATTGTGATAATAATGACGACCATTTATAAAATATTTGTTCTTTTCGTTCCTTTCGTTGCTTAGGATTTGCTTTCACTGGTGTGAAAAACCTAAACAGTCAGCCGCAATTTCGGCCAAGAAAATCAACATTTAAAGCATTTTTTTATATTAATTTTTCTCACGAATAACCTGTAAAGAATGCAAAATCTCAGGATATAATGCAAAAGCGGAATCAGAGCTGAATTCTCGCTCTTGTTTCGTTGGTTTTGTAAACGGTATATTTTGGCCTTTCTTGCAATCACTGATATCACTCATTTGCCAGTTCTATGGTTGATCCAAGGAAGACCTCCTTCGCCATTTAACCGTCCAAAAATGCTGTTAATGTAGCTTAAGGCAGGAAGAATTAAGTTAATGGATACAAGCTTTCAGGTGCCCATCAATGAGTTATTATTCGTTACAGAAGTTCCGTGCGCATTAAACAGACTGTTGGTAATTTTTTTCTACGCCTCAAGACAGTCTCGCGTTTCTATAGAGTTATTCTGCCGAATCAACTTAAGCAGTGCAGTGATGACTTTTAATTATCCTGCGTTTTGTCTATAATGTTTTACGGGTTCGCATTGCCACAAGTATTGAGAGATGGGTTTTATTCCAGTTTCCAATTCATAGACATCATTGTAGAGAAAAGGATTTTGTTAGATTAGTCTAGTTGTCATAGTACATCCTAGTTGCGCTAAAAATTTATTATTAGTACTGAAAAGTTTTGCAGTTAATTGCACCGAAAGGTGCACATCTGTCTTAATATGCTTCGAAGAGGTTTGAAACCAGAGCGCGTCATTTTCTTTAGTTTTGTGATTTGGTTTTGTGATTATTAAACACCCAATTATTTTCTAAAAAATAGTACAAGGCCAGATCTACGCATAGACTCTTTATGCCCTCTGTAGGAATTTTTAAACATCAAACGAATATGTTGTTAGCTAAAGTCAATTTGTCGTGACATATCATCGACTGTTTTGCATGGAAGAAAGCAAACACGCCTAAGGCCCGTTTCTCGAAAGTTCTAATAACTCAACGGGCCCGAAGCATTATTCTAAATTCAAAAGTTAAACAACAGAGAGGAGGATTCTGGCAAATACCCAATCAATCAGTCGCTAGACATTTTAATTTACCCAATCATTCTAAGCAACATATGGCAATCTGCGGTCTTTCCTTGCACTTAGGTGGCACGGAAAGCCGTAAAAATCTTGAACAAAAGCTCATCTTTCAAACCGGCAGTCTAAATCCCACAGGGATCAATGAACGCTTTTCATTCCACTAATTTATTCATGTTTTTCTCGTTGCCATGCACCCACCAATAACGTAGCTCCATTTTCTGCCTTTAAAAGCACACACAACCCACAATTCCTCTATTCGCTCCGACGAAGGGCTAACGCTCGAAACGTCAGCTTTTGTAATCATTACGGTGGCCAATTTACCATTTCAACTTTGTTGATATATCCAAATTATTTCGTTACTCCCACCGACGCAGCCCCAAACAGTTTCTTTCGAAACTATCAGCCTTTATTCATTTGT